AACGAATTGTCGGCACTTAACAACAACAGGTTGGCACGATATGTGCCCAGGTCTCTATTAAGAGTTTCTAACAGAGGCAGTATGTTCCAGACTGATTTTGCTACTTTTACCTGTAGCTGGAATTTTCCTCCAGAGGATCCTTTTAGAATGAGTGGCTTTGAACCTGCTCAGAAATTTGTTCTGGTAAAACCCTTGTCTTCAAGGCAGCTTTCAAAAGAACAAGATTAACTCTTCAACCTAGTAACCAAGGAGAGTTTTGTTATATTAACGAGAAATCCATTTTCTTTGTTTTGTGTGTTATTTGACCTTGAAGTTTTTTTTTTATATAATTCTTATGAATTAACCTATTAAACTAGGACTCTATTAAACCTTCAGTTACAAATAAATAAGAACCTTGATCTTATCAAACAAAAATTTTTGTTTGCCAATATTTCCAGCCTTTGTTAAATATTTCTCATACCATCATACTTTTTAAAACTGTATGAACATACTTTTTAGATCCAATTACACTTGCACATCCTTCTATTCTCCACAGCATAGGTTTAGCCTTCTATTCAAAATTTCCTTCTGATGTACAATTTACTATAAACCTTTAGTTTAGCTGTCATTATCTTTAATATTTTGGCATAACCAAATATGCCATTTTAAAATAAAACTACTTTGCTTTCCCTTTTAAAAAGTTAACCTTCTCAGCAGCATGAACCACACAGAGGTATGCAAGAGTTAAAGTAAATGGAGGTAAATACTATTAACTTGGTACACAGAGGGGATTCCAATCACTGTAATGAAGCAGAGTATATGGTTTGTTGACTGTAAAACTGATGATCTGCTCTGTAAACCTTCACTCAATTCACAATAAAAAGCTTGTTTGTTTTTTAATTAACCCTGTTATCTTCATTTAACTTTCTGCTAGCCTTCAATGACTTTTCATACCCATCTAAATTCTTTTTTCTTTCTCATCTTGTTTCTTTGATTTTCCTTCAGTCTAAAAAAGAATCATTCTCCTTTTCATCGTGAAACTATTAGTTTTACTATCAAAATCACCTTTTTCCTTAGTTAAAACATTTTCTGTATATTTAACTTATGTTGCTTACAACAGTCCTGTTTCCAAGGTTGTTATAAACACAGAAATCTCTGTTAAAATAAATTCACTTCATCAATTCTCCACAATATTAAGACCATTGAACCTACGTGCACCTACCTACCTCTCTTTAAACCAAACCAGAGTGAGTTATTTGAAGAAATATTATAACCTAGCTCCTCAGCAACTTTATACAAGGTCACTACGAGCCGGAAGCGACTCAACAGCACTTAACAACAATTTTGTAATACTCTTTAGAGGTTAGAAATCACTATATTTTCACAATCCTGTCCTTCATAGAATCTTTTGAGAAGCAATTTTAAATACTATGTCCCCTTTTTTATGTCCTTGTTACACCAATTTAAATAAGCAATTCATTTCTAATGTATTTTTAAGTAGGTTCATTTATGTCAAAGTAACTATGAAAAATCCAGAGTACAAGCCAAACACCAAAAGCAGTTTTTCTTAGTCAAGGAAAAGAACTGAGGTTTTTATATTGCTCTATGAAGAGCATCAGCCATAGCCTTCAACTTGATACAAAAGCGGAAGTTTAGTCACAGTAAGCTTTTAGAACAAAGTAAAACAGGGAAAAGGCTGCACATAAAATCCAAGCTTATAGAATACTATAAAATATAAATATATGGGGAATCCAGTTCCCTAAAATATTTACAGTAATTCATTGATAAGATAATATTGCAATTTAAAGAACCATTCATAGATCATGTTTTCCTTTTTCCTAATGAATATAGTAACCAAGTAATAACAACAACAAAAAATTTCATTTTAGACTTTTTCATGAGATCACTCTCAAAATAAAACCAATTATTGTGGGTGCCATCTGGAACTGCACTCGACCATTACCCATTTTCCTTGAATAGAAAACGTCTCGCATCAAGCAAGCAATGTCACAAGCTATCATTGCTTAGTCTTGATTCCGAAGCTTCACAATCTCCTCAATCTTGGCTCCTTTCTGTACCTCATAAGCTACTGCTATTTTGTCTTGCATATTCAAGAGAGATTTCACAATCTACCTACCTGATGATGGGCAACATTTTCTGCCCCTCAAAATGTGTGTCACCTTTGAGACCACTGGTGCCCATGCTCCCAGCAGGAGGAGATTCTGCTCCTGGAGAAACAGTCCCAATGTATGCTGGGAGGAAAAGCCCCAGACCCACTAATCCGGGGCACCAAGTAAATCTGGGCAAAGCTACAACTGGTAAAACTTTGTGAGTTGTCAAAAACTGTAACCTAAATGCAAGCTTATGCCCAGTGCAACTCAAAGTCAATTCAGTTACACCAAGTGAGGAGACAGAAGTGTTTAATCATTTATTCATAAGCAGGGAAATGGACAGATTCAACACTCCCTAAAATGTCTGCTTCCAAGGTTTTTATTAACAATTTTTAATAGCCAAGGCTGGCATGACCTTTGGTAAAATAGCAAGTGCTCCAAAGTTGGATAAAAGGAAAAAGAAATTTATACAAAGGCCTGGGGGTTACACAAGTCACAAGGAGTCTCACAGGCTTCTGCACAAGTAAACTATGTACACAAACAATTTGTGGGCTGGGGGACATCATTACGGTCCATATTTGGTGCCAGCAAAACCTCCTGACTATCTGTTTTAGTTAGTTCGTTCTCTGATCTCAGTGACAGGAACCTTAGGCAACTTTTTTGAAGAATATTACGCATTTTCTGCAGAATGCTAGGTATCACCATCACCAGTGTGGATCACTGAAAGGCAGAATCCGCATTTGCATAGCTTTGTTGCTGTTGAAACATTTCCTTTCTTTTTTTGCTTGGAGCACATCTGAGCTTGCTACTTAGCCTTGAACTGTGTGTTCCAGGAAATTAACACTTGGAGGAAATTTTACCAGTGCTACATGCTGTTGAGTTGACTCTGACTCATTGTGACTCCGTGTGTATCAGAGCAGAGTTGTGTTCCATAGGATTTTTGTGTTTCCTACCCACCCACCCCCTCTTGGTTGATTTTCAGAAGCAGATCGCCAGGTTTTTCTTCCTAGTCTGTCTTAATCTGGAAACTCTGCTGAAACCTGTCCAACATCAGAGCAGCACACACAAACCTCCACTTGAGGTGCACTGACCAGGAATCCAACCCAGGTCTCTTGCACAGAGGGTGAGAATTCTGTCTCCGTACACTCCTGCTCCCTGGGGCATTTAGGATATTCAATGACTGATATCTCAGAACTAGATTGCCACATCTTTCTTCTGAAGCACCTCTTTTTAGACTTGAACCTCCAACCTTTTGGTTAGCAACAGAGCACATCAACCATCTGTGCCACCCAGGAACTCAGAGGAAATTGTCACATATACGCATCACTGTAATGCCTCTCAGAACCACACAATCACCATTCCTGTAACACAGAGAGTATATTCGTATTCCTGACTTTGGCAGAGGGGAAAGCACTGTTTGTGAGGGACAGGCAAAGTTTTTCTTCCACAAAGCTGAGAAGAGACTTGTTTAGTCCTGAGCCTTTCCACTTGCCCTGGCAGTGTTCATCTCCATAGCCTGGTGACCAGATCCCCTCATCCCTTTTAGTACCAAGCTTAACTCTCAGCTTTTGGGAGATCTTTGGACACTTCTGAACATCTGTCACAAGTCATGGATGGATGTGCTTATATACATTCACTCTAAATGATACACTCAACTTTCATTCAATTTCAGAGATGCCCAAACAGCTCAGGTTAAGAACCTTGGCTTGATGATTCTGATTGGCAGTTCCCTACCCCTTAGCCACCACTAATACTCTTGCCCTACCTCCTGAGTAGGGACAGTGAAAATTTCCCAAGCCACAACTTGCCAACCCAGTTTGGGTTTGGGGTTCTGATGAGAGGCACCAATTCATTGTCTGGTTACCAGACCCTCGGAAAACTCCACAGAGATAATGATTGGGAAGTTATTTTTGATGATTCACTGATCCACAGAACATAGAAGCCACGGAGCAGTATTTGAGTAACTTATATTTGAGTTGAGTTTTAACGTTTAATTGTTCTATCTGGCAATTACTTTATTATTTAATACATTTAGAAGGTTGAGAGCAGGTAGGAAGCAGGAAGCTTGCACAGTCCAAGTGTGGGGCCACGTCTACTCTTGTAAAAGCAAACTCAAACCCATTACCTTCAAGTCAATTCGTACTCAAAGTGACCCTAAAGGACAGGGTAGAACTGTCCCATAGGGTTTCAATCAATAAACCTTTACACGGCAGGATGCCACATCTTTCTCCCACAGGATGGCTGGTGGCGTCAACCCATAAACCTTTCATTTAGCACTTGAGTGCTTAACCATTGTGCAATCAGAGGTCCATGGTTCTCAGTGTTATTTAATATAAGACTTTAAACTGTTACTGTCACACCATGCACAGAATGTCTGTTTCTCTGTGTGTCTGTCTGTCTCTCTCTCTCTCTCTCTCTTTCTCTCTCTCTCTCACACACACACATACACGCACTCACTTCTATGTAGCTATCTCCCTAATTTCTCAAGAGTCACATCTAAGACATCTAGCTTGAAAATTAAAATGTTCTTGACAACATTCTCTACCCACAAATAACCCAACCCATTTGCGAACAACTTAGAAACTCATAAACTATGGTACCATGGACTTTTAGAATCCTTAGGTCTTAGAAGGAATAAACCAGGGACTTGGGGCTGGAAGAGACTCAGAAATGGTTTGGGGTAAGAGTGAGAAGGAAACCAGACACAGTTAGTGCTGGAGGCTTGTGAGAGGTGGAGAATGGGCAATAGAGGTTCTTTTGGGTTTTCTTTGGGTTTCCAGCCCACCCTTGTCCCCAGGAAGCTGATCCCACAAGAGAAAAAGGATGAGGCTAAGGGAGCTCAAGTTTCAATTACTTTATTATTCTGCAGGTTCATATCCAGGGGTCCAGCTTCAGGGCCCAGTAGCCTGGCTACTCTTTGTGGCTATCTTCATGCGCTATTACTCCTAGCTTTATCACCAGTATGAGGAACTCTTCGAAGTTAATTGCTTTATCACTGTTGATATCCAACTCTTTGAACCAGGTGTCAGCATCCTTTTTCTGTCAGGAATAAGGAAACAAGCATAAGTGTAAAGATTTCAGGAGAACTGAAGTATGCAGTCTACATTGAGCTTCAGGAGGACCAAAGTCAGCTCTCATTATAACCAGACAGAAAGTTCCATCACACCCGCCCTTGTCACCTTCAAATAGTTGGGACCTTCGGTCTCTAAGAGTTTCTTCAAATCATCCTTGTAGAGGGCGTGGTAATTCCCCTTCACCAAGGAGTAATTATGGTAGACCTCGATGAGTGAATCCATGGCACTTTCCAGATCGGTAAGCATGATACCCAAGGTTTTGCTTCACCTGGAAGATGGGAATCACATGTTGAATCCCAGGAAAAGGCTAGTGCCTCTGCCCAGAACAGAGTGAAGAGTGGGGGACACTCAGAGGGCTCATCCTCCAAAGCAATCGTTTGGCCTGTCCCCCACCATCCAAATTATTTATCCAGAAGATGGCTATGGCTATGGCTATGAAGAGATGGGGTGGGAGTCAGGTGTAGGAAGAGCAGAGTTCACACACATGCATACACACAGTTATCTGACAGATCTTCCTAAACCCCTATCTGCCCAAGAAGAAACAGCTTAGGAAGCACACATGGCTTGTCTACCAGAAAAGAGCTCAGTGGACCCTGCTCCAGCAATCCACTCTCCTCCCAGGTCTTAACCCCAAACCTCCTAGAGCTTTCTCATTCCTCCCTCAAGGACAGCTGCTTTACTCCTCTGACCCCCAGGGATGCCCAGAGTGTGGGGCAGACCTCAGCAGTCCCGCTTACCAGGTCTCCCCAAAGTAGACTTGAGAAAGAATATGCAGAACTAAGCATCAGCTCCCTTTTATAGCACATAGGCCAGCCAAGCATCCCAGGCCTCGGGCCATTCAGAGACAGGCTCACCAATGGTTGCTGCAGTTACTGGTTTCCCAACCAGGGAAATGTGGTAATAACTTCAAGAATAAGGATTTCTGACAGGGTGACGGGAAGGAAGGGTGGAAGGAGGAAGTCATTTGCCCAGCAATAATGCTTAGCAGGAGAGACCAGGAAGAGGAGTGGGGACCACTCCTTCTACACCAGCTCTGTGTAGCCAGGACTCCCATTCCTGAGTCTTTTCCTGTTACTGATGCCAGTGCTCTTGCCAATCCCATGCATTTGTGGCCAACTCTGCCCTCCTAAGGGAGTCCTGAGTAATGCTGGGTAGTATGCAGTTACTAATCACAAGGTTGGCAGTTCAGACCCACCCAGAGGTGCATCAGAAGAAAGACCTGGTGATCTGTTTCTGAAAGGTAAAGGTCTTGAAAACCCTATTGAACACAGTTCCACTATGACACACATGGGGTCGCCATAAGTGGAAATCAATTCAATCGCAATTGCTTTGGTTTTTAGTTTTGCAACTCTGAAATTGATTAAAGTTAAGTGCATCATTTATATCCCTCCATACGTCAGCCACTCCTTGGAAACCCTATACAGGGTTGGTATGGGTCAGAACTGACTCAACGGCACTTAACAACAACAACAACATAAGATAGATAATATAAGAAAAGTACAGTATTTCTATTAATGTTTTATGTGGATGGTTGGATTCTGTGTGGAGATGTGTTTTACTACGAATTAAATCAGTTCCTACCCTGCTACCCACATTCCTCCAAAAATCTCCTGTTCTTTGAAGTTGGGGTGCACTGGGCCCTGGCAAACAAAGGCTGAGTGGTGTCTCTCCACAATGGGTAAGGCACTAAGCATGGTACATGCTGCATAAAGAAAAGCAGGAACCCTTCCTTCCTCTCCAGGATGAGTGTGGTGCCTTGGACCCCAGGAGCATGGGCGCCCAAAAGAAATCCTTCTGTGTGTTGGGGTTGGGATTCTTTGAAGAAGAAGAAGAAGAAGAAGAAGAAGTTGCTAATTCCCCCAGGATTTTAGAAGCAACAAAATGCCACTCAGGGAGTTTAGTTTCAGAGTGTGTGGGGGAAGGTAGAATCTCCACTGCGTGGTTTTCATCCTGTCTAGATGGGGCTGGTGAAAGGAGATGGGGATAAGATTCTTATGATTCCACAGTGAATAATTGTTATCATGACTAATTGTGATTGTCGCAACTGTAAAAGTAGAAGTTTTGTAGCAAAAAGGGGGCAGTGGTTGATCTTACAGTCCAGGGATGGAGGACCCTGGGACCATCAAGGGAGAGGAGCAGAAGCAGAATGCAGGACCTTCTCCAGAGAAGCAGCAACACCAAAGACGGGGGCAGAGATGAGGACATGGAGAGATGGAGCAGCTGAAGACTTTAGACTCATGGAGGGAGAGGGGCTATGTGCTGGCAGCCAAGAGGCAACCTTGTAGGCAACCTTTGGTTGTTTGAATGACTGTATATTCCTAAGTGTCTTGGTGTACATCCAAAACAAACAAACAAAGAACAACACACACACACACACACAAAAAAAAAAAAACAGAGGAAATAGAAGCAAATATTGTTGAATGATGATGCATGTAGGGGACTGTAATCATTGCAATGAAATGAAAATGATAGGAAGAGTGTAAAACTGATGTTCTCTCATGTAAACTATTACTCAATTCACAATAAAAACCTTAAAAAAAACAACAACCCACTCAGATGAGCTGTCTCTCAACATTGAACTATGTGGTACATTTAATGTGTTACTAAATATTGTATATCCATATTAACTTCATAAGAATCTTAGAATATATTTATCAGGAAGACAGGACACCGAACCACCCAGTCTACAGATGAGGAAGCAAGTAGAGGAAATCTACAGATGTTATCAGAGCCCGGATGGGATACCAGAGATCCTGGCTCCAGACAGTGATCCAACAAGACTGTAACTCTGTTGAGGAAACTCCTCTCATCTTTCTTTCCTTCATGCATTCATTCAACAAGTGCTCCCCTAGCTCTTAGGCCATTATCGATCCCTGGGGAGGTAGCAGGGATTAGCCTCTTCATGTCTCTACAGCCCTTTGGGCTTTGTTCCACTCTCTCCTTAATAGTGGTATGATCTTTGACAAATTACTTACCCACTTTGTACTTCATTATCTCAATCATTAAATGGAGTCCTGGAGTCCTGATGTGGTGCTGTAGGATAAGCATTCAACCACAAGATGGGTTTGAACTGCAAGGTCAGCTGTTCAAACTTACCAGCTGCTCCTCAGAAACCCTATGCAGGCTCACTAATGGCACTTAACAACAACAACAACAACAACAATAACATATACCTTATAGTACCTTTGTTAAGATTAATAGTTGTTGTTCGCTGTCACCACATCAATTCTGATGCATAGTAAGTCCATTTTCTGTAGAACTGCCCCATAGGGTTTTCTTGACTGTAATCTTAATGGAAACTGATCACTAGGCCTTTTCTTCCATAATACCGGAGGGGTTAGAACTACCAACCTTTAGGTTAGCAATCAAACCTTTTGTGTCACCTAGGGACCTTCGGAAACCCTATATAGGGTCACTATGAATCGGAACCAACTCAACGGCACTTAACAACAACAACAAGGGCCTTCAAGGATGAATAAAAGCCAAACCAAAACCATTTCCATGACACTATTTCAAATTCATAGTGACCCTGTTGGACAGAATAGATCTGCCCCAAGAAGCCTTGGTTTCCAGGGCAGTAGATCTTTATGAAAGCAAACTGCCACATCTTTCTCTCACAGAGCAACTGGTGGATTCAAACCACTGACATTTGATTAGCAACTGAGAGCTTAACTATTGCACATCTGGGGGCCCTTCAAGGATTAATTATTGTTGTTGTTAAGTGCCACTGAGTTGGTTCCGACTCACAGCAACCCTGTATAGGGTTTCCAAGGAGCGGCTGGTGAGTTTGAACTGCCAACCTTGCACTTCAAACTGATACGGCAGCCCAGCACATTGACCTGCAGTACCACACCAGGACTCTACAGGGTTTCATAGAAAATGCAAACTATTTATGATTTGTTTACTTTTCTTGATGTGTGTTATGCCTTAATAAAAAGTTCATGCAAAGAAATCTGAGAAGTCCTTTAAGCAGTGCATAGTATAAACACTGTGTGGGTGTACATGCTACAATTACTGCCCTGACCTCCAGCTGTACTGTGAGTCCACCCAAGGACCCAGATACGGACTATTCATCTCTGCCTCCTCAGGACCCAGCCCAGAGTCTGACAGACAGACATACTAGCACAAAATGATGAAAAAACAATAGCTATTATTTATTGCTCATTCACCAGATGCCAGAAACTATGATAAGTACTGTGTTTACAATGGTCATTTAATTCTTGCAAAAGCCTCTTTCTCCCACAGAGCCACTGGTGGGTTTGAACTGCTGACCTTGGGGTACAGTCCAGTGTTTATCCTACAGAACCATGAGGGCATCTTATAATCCTGTGAGGTATGTACTGTTATTATTCCCATCTTATACATAAGCGAATTGAGGCCCACAGAAACACACAACATTCAGTGCACTGAATTATTCAGGTGCTTTATGATGGGGTGAGACCTAATCCACTTTCAGTTACTTCTGGGAATGCTTCTTCTAGCTGGTAAAGATACCTGTTCCGCATCCATCCCTGATCCTCCTTCCTCACCCATGTCTACCTACTGTCATTGAGTTGATCACAACTCATATCAACCCTATTGGACAGAGTAGAACTGCCTCATAGAGTTTCCAAGACTGTATGTAAATCCTTCCAGAAGCAGACTGCCACATCTTTCCCTCTCTTGGTGAGTTCACACTGCAGACCTTTCAATTGGCAGCTGCACTGCATCACCAAATTTCCTTCCACCCCTATTTGGTGGTGCTGGCTTTGTGTCATTGGGTCAGTTGCAACTCATAGCCACCCTGTACAGCATTTCCGAGGCTATAAATCTTTACGAGTAGATTTAAACTACTGACGCTGCCATTGTCAGTCCTACTGGTAACCCACTACAATAATAAGGTTCTTTCCACCACTATCTATACAGAGTTGACTCCTCTCTGCTCAGTGCTACTCAAATCAATAGCCTCATTGCATCAACACCTTTACTCCGCTGTATTATGTAATTCACCTGCCCATTTTCTGTCTCTTCCTTGGTACTATAAGACCCAGCAGAGACTATAATAGTTTGTATCCCTAGTGCCTGACACAAAATAGGTACTCAATGAATAATTACTGTGGAGATAAATGCATACAAAATTGAACTTTTGACCTATTCTTTATCCAATACAGAAGTTCCCTTTATTACATCAAAATCAAAACACCAAACCCATTGAGCTGATTAAGACTCATTGAAACCCCTTATGTTACAAAGTAAAACTGTTCCTT